ACGGCAGTTACCTGCCCAACAAGATTAAGTCGTCGCAGCATGTCGATCCTGTCGTTCATCTTGAGCGACATACCTTTGACGATACGGATGCCAGTTTAGGGAAGTCAATGCGCTCAGTGCGTCCGTTTGTTCTATTTTATTTCTCGGAGTGCAGCAGCTCAGACGCAATCTCGCAGATTGCTTCGAACGAGCGGAGTGCTTGTCGGACACTTTCAACTGCAATAGGTGAAAGGCCGTAAAGGGTTTTTGTCCGAACGGGGCACAATCTGCGCTTAGGGATCTGGCCGGCAAAATGCGTCCACACAGAACCGCCGTGCAGCGTTGCGATCACGTCCGAGACGCTTGAGGCCCTGAAGCGGCTTTGGCAGGACGCCGGCGTGATGCCGGACACCGATGCGCCGGTGTTCGGACAGTCGATGTCTCAGATAAGTCGCCATGTTGACAACATGGCGAAAGCGGCCGGTCTTGGGGACGGCTATTCGAGCTATTCTGGGTGTGTGCGCCTGGCTATCAGGATGATCCGGCGGGGGGCTCCGCTGCAGGCGGTGCAGACGCACGGGCGCTGGAAGTCGCCGCAAATGCCCGCGTGGTACACCAGGGGAGAGAAGGCGCTTGAGGCGCTTGAGTGGCTGTACATGTGAATGGCGCTATGCATGACTGCGTTCACGCTCGGTGCCGGAACACGTTCACGGCGGTTACCAGCCGACGAAGGTTTGTCGCAGTCAGGGCAGGTAGCCCGTGGGCCCCTCGACGGAGATATCCCTGTGCAGACAGGCCTTGCAGACCAGGCAGTAGCGCCCATCGAAGTCACGGAGCTTGTGCTCGCAGAAGATTGCCCTGATGTACTCATCCACGTGGCAGGGCTGGTCCAGCCTGCACCAGCAGGACAGGTAATCATACGCCGCGAGCTCCGTATGCGCTCTCGCCGGTGTCATGGGCAGCTCGTGGGCCCAGAACGCCTTGCGAAATGCTTCCAGCGCCTCTGCGCGGGTATATTCCTCGCCTATCGGAAAGGGATTACCCCACTCGGTCGGCCCGGCCGCAATACTTGGTGTTGGTCGGCTGTCTGCTGCCTCTCTCCCTGCTGCGCTGGATTCTCCTGACCATTGCCTGCCTTACACTCCGTCTCGAATGGCCGTCCCGCAGCTGAAGCCCTGTGCCGCGGAGCAGGCTCCAGGCTGCACGGCATCAGGAACGACCGCAGCCACTCGCGGTGCTGAGGCAGCAATCTCCGCGCGCTGTGCCAGTCCAGCGAACACGTCGACAGGAACTTCGCCAACCGTCTGTCCTGCCGGGTCTTGCGCCTGTGGCAGCTTCGGCACAACCAGCGCAGGTTCTCCGGACGTGAATGCCCGCAGCATCGCCGCTGGGCCCAGCGCACGGGCTACCTCGATCGCCAGTCGGTGGTCCATCTCGTCGGACGGGTCGCCGCACATCTCGCAGAGCGTGTGCTGTATCTCATCCGGATGCTGTCCCGACGCCACACGGTATGCGTTGAGGCAGTAGAGGTGCCAGCGGGTCTTGATATTTGCCGTGCGCTCGTAGCACCAGCGGCAGATACCGTTCACCGGAGGCTCTCCCCACTTGGCGGTGCGGTTCACGAGGCGTCTGGAGTGTGTTGCCGGATGCCGCCGATGGTGCAGCACGAGACCCTGAACTGCCAGCGTCTGATGGGAGTGCGCATGCGTTGCCTCGACCGTTGAAACTGCCTGTGATTGCCCGACGAAATGACCTGTACGAGGAGGGCTGCCACCAGTACATTACACCACGGGAACGCCTGTAATACCGCACAAAACGGGTATCCTGCAGTATTGCTGCCTTCCAAATAACCGCTCTCCGGCGATTCTCGCGGGATGTCCCTGCTCTGAGAGTCGCATCTCCTGCGAAATCACCGAGTTTTCGCGCGAAAACCTGCGCTAGTCCAACAGATCGGATAATAACCGTCGTGACTGGCGTCCCCCTTTCGCATTTAGTCCGGACGGAATAAACTCATCAGCAGGATAGTTCCCCTTTCTATGAGGACGGGCAATGGCAAGACCGATGGAAACCAGGCTGAGCATATCGTGCCTGCAATGTGACTGGTCCGTGGAGACGACGAACACCTCCACGGAGCTTTCGGCTGCGTTCCTCGAGGAAGCGCAGGCCCACGCGGACCGGCACGAGCAGCATGCGATCGAGATTGTACAACGGCTGAGGGTATACAGCGCGAACTATGTTGAGCCTGCGCCACCCACCCAAGACGCTCGATCTTCCGCAGCCAGTCGTGATGCAGGCATCCAGACCGGCTTCCTGGACAGGACCCGCCGCCTCGATGATTGAGGATGACCACTAGCAAGACAGCGAATGAAAGGAGATTAACGATGACCGGATACTGCATGAAGTGCAAAGAGAGCCGAGAGATGCAAGAGACCGAGCAGGTCACGATGAAGAACGGCCGGCCGGCGACCCGCGGCAAGTGTGGCGAGTGCGGAACCGGGATGTATAGGATAGGGAAGCCGTCCTGATGCTCTGCAAGGCTCAACAGAGACACGATTATGAATCGCCATAGACCTCGGCGTCACAGACTGCATGGACTGCTGGCAACGCGGACATTGCTTCCTCTTCTATAGTCGGGAAGCGTACTTGTCGGCAACAGAGTGGCGAGCAAGGAGGAGTCCATGACCACCCCAGCCGTGACCTCCATAATCTATCCCGAAACGGACGGAATGCCATTGCCTGACGGAGAGTTTCAAGCGCCGCTGTATGTCAGCATCGTCGGTACACTCAGGACTCACTTCAGGGACATTCCAGGCGCGAGAGTAAACGGAGACACGTTCATCTACTACGTCGAGGGCGACTCTCGCCGCTCGGTATCCCCGGACTGTTACGTGGTCTTCGGTCTGTCCGACGCAGCTCTGCAGTCGCTGTCTCTGGAAGGAAACAACACCTATCTGCTGTGGGAGGTTGGCAAGGCTCCGGACTTCATCCTGGAGATAGGATCTAAGAGCACGGCGAATGCCGACCTAGTTAGCAAGCGCGAGTTGTATGCGGAGCTAGGAGTGGCTGAATACTGGCGTTATGACGCGACCGGTGGGGAGTTCTACGGCGAGTCGCTGGTGGGAGAGCGCCTGGTGGATGGCGAGTACAGTCGTGTTGAGTTGCGGCATGAGAGTGACGGCCGCATATGGTCTCACAGTGAAGCGCTGAACCTGGACTTGTGGTGGGCGGATGGTGAGTTACGGTTCTGGGATCCGGTGGCGGATCGCTGGCTTCTGAGTCAAGAGGGAGAGCGGGACGGGCGTCTGGTTGCCGAGGCTCGCGCTGAGGCCGCTGAATCGCGCGTAGCAGAGCTGGAGGCGGAGCTTCGACGCCTGCGTGGCGGGTAGAAGTTCTCCATCCTGCGACGCTTCCCTTGTTTGAAGCAGCCTCTTCACAAGTGAGTCACGTCGCTGAAAGTCCCCGAAAACCGGATGCAAGGAAATACCTGAATTCCTTGCAACGCGTGTCGAACCTACCGAGGTCGCACACCACCAGGCTCCTGATTCCCTGACTTTGCCAGTGGTATAATGACGGCAATCGCTCAACTCACTCAGGCTCGGAGAGGTCCGCGATGACCAGCAAAACGACTTCACTTACACAGGAAGCGGGCAAGCTGGAACGCTTCCCCGACTTTCCGCCGCGGGAAGACATGCAGAACTGGCTCTATCTCTACGATTCTTCCATCCTGACTTCGCTTACGATTCACTTTGCTGATGAGCCGAACGTCACAGTCGCAAGCGAGGTTCCGGTGGGGCCTAGCCTGCCTGTAAGGGATGATGCGCGGATACCGGACCTGCTGCTGGTGCGCGACGGCGACCGTGCTCTTATGGAAGAGCAGCGAGGCTATGCGATAGACCGCCAGGGTAAGGCTCCGGACTTCGTGCTTGAAGTGGCGTCTCGATCAACTGGAAGAGTGGACTACACGGACAAGCGCACGGACTACGAGCGCTTCGGCATCCTGGAGTACTGGCGGTTTCGACCCGAGTGGCGGCGAGTACCACGATGCGGCGCTTGCGGGGGACCTACTGGTAGACGGCATGTACCGGCCCATCGCGATTGAGACGCTGCAAGAGGGTATGCTTCGTGGATACAGCGATGCACTGGGGCTGTATGTGTGCTGGGAGGATGGGCGGCTGCGCTTCTTCGACCCCCGTACGGAGGGCTACCTCAGCACTCACGACGAGGCCGAGGCTCGCGCTGAAGAAGAGCGTGTCAGTCGTATGGCGGCTCAAGCTCGCGCTGGCACCGCCGAGGCTCGTGCCGGAACTGCTGAGGCTCGTGCTGAAGAGGAACAGGCAGCTCGTATGGCGGCTCAAGCTCACGCTGAAGAAGAGCGAGCCAGTCGCGTAGCGGCAGAGTCGCGCCTTGTGGAGCTTGAGACCGAGCTTCGACGACTGCGCGGCGAGTAGGTACTTCGGCACTTCGATAGTTCCCTCTGTACCGGTGCGCCCTCCTGCGAATCCCCTGAAAACCCATGCAAGAAAATACTACATTACTGTTGAGAGTTCCGAGCCAGAGCAAACCAGACGTGCGGAAGTGAAAACAATGGATGAAGAGAGGGAAGCTTTCGATATAGTCAGACTGTCTTGCGAGATACGATTGATGGGACCCGCCTTAGCATGAACGACACGCTGAACTACTACGGCATTATTGTCGATAGTAATACGAGGCAAACGATATGCCGCTTGCGCTTCGGCGCTAGAGTGAAGAATATAGGCTTGTTTGACGATGAGGGCAATGAGAACCGCAATAGGTTGGCATCTTTGTCCGACATCAACGACTATGCCGAGCAACTTCGATCTAGGGCAAGTTTGTTTGCATAGTTGAGAGGATCTTCTCCTAAAGGCCGGTCCGCGCTGCAAGGAAATACAGCATATCGTTGCAAGGCGAGACGAATGACCGAAGTCGCGCCAGCGCTGCTATGCTCCTCTATCCCGGCTTTGCAAGTAGTATAATGTCGGCAGTCGGCAATCGCTCAACTCACTTAGGCTCGGAGAGGTCCGCGATGACCAGCAAGACGACTACACTCACACAGCAAACGGGCGAGCTCGAACGCTTTCCCGATTATCCGCCACGAGATGACATGCAGAACTGGCTCTACCTCTACGAAACCTCCGTCCTGACTTCGCTTGCGATTCATTTCGCCGATGAGCAGAACGTCACGGTGGCGAGCGAGGTTCCGGTCGGTCCCGACCTGCCGGTGCGGGATGATGCGCGGATACCGGACCTGATGATGGTGCGCGGCGGCGACCGTGAGCTTATGGAGGAGCAGAGGGGATATGCGATAGACCGTCAGGGTAAGGCTCCGGACTTCGTGCTTGAAGTGGCGTCTCGATCAACTGGAAGAGTGGACTACACGGACAAGCGTCTGGACTACGAGCGCTTCGGCATCCTGGAGTACTGGCGCTTCGACCCGAGTGGCGGGAGTACCACGATGCGGCGCTTGCTGGGGACCTACTGGTAGACGGCATATACCGGCCCATCGCGATTGAGACGCTGCAAGAGGTATGCTTCGTGGATACAGCGATGCACTGGGACTGTATGTGTGCTGGGAAGATGGACGGCGCTGCGCTTCTTCGCCCCCGTACGGAGGAGCTCCTCAGCACTCACGACGAGGCCGATGCTCGCGCTGAAGAAGAGCGTGTCAGTCGTATGGCGCTCAAGCTCGCGCTGCACCGCCGAGGCTCGTGCCGGAACTGCTGAGGCTCGTGCTGAAAGAGGAACAGCAGCTCGTATGGCGGCTCAATGCTCGCGCTGAAGAAGAGCGCGCCGGTCGCGTAGCGGCAGGGCACATCTTGAGGGGCTTGAGGCCGAACTTCGACGACTGCGCGGCGAATAGGCGCTTTCCCTCGCGTTCATCGTCAGCCAGACACGTTCCTTCGCCCGCAAAATTACCCGCTTAAAGTCGATGCAAGAAAATACCGTATTCTATTGCAATGGAGGCAGGCTACCGAAAGACGCACCGCCACCTTGACCCCATCAGTAGGAGAGTAGAGCGAGAATGCCGAAAGCCGAGCCCGTAACTCGCTGCGATTTCTTTATCACCGCCTCCGCGCTTGAGGCTGGCCTCACTCAACAATTCTGGTATCAAGCCTACCTCCAGTTCCTGAAGATACGGAGAGCGATACAACCGCGCCGGGATTCGAAATGTACGACATCGCTCGCACCGTCCGGATTCCATTCCACCAGAAGCACATTGATGTGCTTGTGCGGTGTCAGCCAGAGCCGAGGGAGCACAGGATAATACGCCTTACGGCGTTCCCTGCTGGGAATGAGAGGCAAGCGCCTCATTATCCAGGTGGTACAGGCGCCTTGATGAAAGCCGCCCTATTGGATGCCGGCCAGCGATGGTAGTGGGCTGGCAGTCTTTACATCTTAATCACACGTGTTGAGTATGTTATTACCAATGAGAAAGCTTGTTGTCCTGCTGGCTTTCGGTGTCATTGTGCCAAGCGTGACTGCGGTCCTGGCCGGATGCGGATCGTCTGCGCCGACGGTGCAGAACGCTGCTCCCCACGAAAAGCGCAGCAGCCCTCCAGGTGGCGGCGGTCACCGCGCCCTACCCGGCGGATCCCACGCCCACGCCTAGTCCTGTCCAAACGGCCGACGACGAGCTTGAGTTTGCGCCAACCAATTCTCTCGAAACCTCAGGCAGAGATGGAGGCATAACCGAGGTGGACCAGGAGGCCTCGCAAAAGGGCGGCTCATCGGCAGGGCCTGTGCAGGGCCAGACCTACACGTGGGAAGACGGTGACGGGACCCTTACGGTTTATCTTCAGACCGACCTGGTTGTGGAGAAGGGCTCTGACGGATTGCCTCGCGGCATCGTCGCGGCCGATGACGGTGGGACCAACGTTGCCAGGGGTGCGGACAGCCAATCGAAGGGCGATACTCTGCCTGTATTTCGCTCCGAGTCCGGTTCGCTTATGACTCTGCCCGGCGGCGTCCTTCTGGTGCTCAGCGCCGAATGGAGCCAGGCAGAAACGAACGCCTTCTTCTCTCGACAACGGCATCAAGATGGACCGCGTTTCGGAGCTGAGTTACATTGCCAACGGCTTCTTCATTGAAACGGAACCGGGTTCCCTTCTCTCGATCTTGCAAACGACTTGTCAGCGCTAGCCGGGGTGGCGGTGTCCAGTCCCCAACTGGGGAAGAGAAGCAACCGCGAAGTGATCGTTACTCTGTGAATGTCCCTCGCCCGTTGTACCCCATTTGTTCCTATGAGCACTAACGATGCTGCTGAGTCAGTGATTCCATGACCAGATGCTCAGCCCGGCCAGACTGCTTCCGGCGGCAGGGTGTGCCCTGCTGTGCCTCATGCTGGTCCTGGGCTACGCCATGGCACAGACCAGTACTCCTGCCGCGCCCACCATTGACTCCGTAACTCCGGGTGATATGCAGCTCAAAGTTGCCTGGACAGCTCCCGCAGGCGAAACGGGCATCACAGCCTACGACGTCCGCCACATCGAGACCAGCGAGGACGAGACGGATGACACCAAATGGACCGTGGTGGACGACGCATGGATCTCCGGCGTGCTGGAGTACACCATCACCGGCCTGGACAATGGCATCCCAGTATGACGTGCAGGTGCGGGCCGTCAACTCCAACGGTGACGGGACTTGGTCCGGAACGGAGATCGGGACGCCGGCATTGCCCGCTCCCACCATCAGTTCCGTGCGCGCCGACGACCGCGCCGTGCTGGTCTCCTGGGGCGAGCCCACGGGTATTGCCACCGGCGTAGAGCCTATGACGTGCGATATATCGAGACCAGCGCCGACGAGAGCGTAGATTCCAACTGGACCGTGGAAGAGGATGCCTGGGAGGATGGCGGCGGCAGCCTGACCTACGCCATCACCGGCCTGACCAATGACACCGGGTACGACGTGCAGGTGCGCGCGGTCGATGAAGACGACGTAAAACGGCGCCTGGTCGACCACGTCCAGCGCAACGCCGGAGGACCACGGCAACAGCCGCGCCGACGCTACCAGCATTACGACAGACGCCAGGATCTGGGGCGCTATTGACCCCACTGACGATGAAGACTACTTCAGGTTCAGCGTGTCAGGCACAGCCGACTACTGGATCTACACCCTTGGAGACCTCGATACCGTGGGTGAACTGCTGGACAGCAATGGCGATCCCATAGCGAGCGACGATTACGGTGCGGTGCTGCCCAACCCGGACAATTTCTTCCTGTGGCGCAAGCTTCAATCAGGGACGTACTACGTCAAGATCACCGGATTCGGATCTACCGAAGAACCCTATGTGCTTCGGCTCAGGCGGTTCTCGGACACCACTTCAAGGAGCAACGCAGCCACTCTGAGCATCAACGGCTTCACAAGCGGCACAATCGACCCTGAGGAAGACAGCGACTACTTCAAGCTGGTGCTTTCGGAGACGACGGAGGTTGTCATTCGCGCCTCCGGATTCCCTGACACCGTTGGTGAGCTGCAAAGGAGCAACGGCACGGTGATAGCCTCCAACGACGACGGCTATCTCCCAGGGGGCAGAAGGAATTTTCTCATTCGGGAAAGTCTCCGGGCGGGAACCTACTATGTCAAGGTCAGCTCCTTTGCTGAAAGATCCGATGGGCCGTACACAGTGTACGCCACAGCCATCACCGAGCCGGGCAGTTCCATTGCCGATGCCCAGGCACTGACCCTTGGAGATACGGCAGGCGGAATCATCGACCCGGCCGGCGACGAGGACTACTTCAGCCTGACTTTGGACGATACGACTTATGTGATCATCGGGGGCGTGAGCGAAGGCATTGACATCAGCGGCGAGCTCCTCGATTCCAACAACCTGCGGGCCCCCGTCGATTCGATTCACTTCGGCGACGTATTCATTTTCCAGGGCAGACTGGACGCAGGTACATACTACTTGAAGGTGGCGGGCCAGGAAGACACAGAGACCGGCCGTTACACTGTGAGGGCATCCGAGAGGGCAGTTACACTTATTTCATCAACCGCTGCTCCAACATCTCCAGGAGTTCAGGCATTAACGATCCTCTGTACGGATGCCAGTGGCACCTGAACAACGACGACCAGTTTCGCAACAGCGCCGGTCAGGATATCAGAGTCGAGGAAGTGTGGCCCACTTACACGGGCGACGGCATCAACGTGGCGGTGGTGGACGACGGGATGCATTACAGGCATGAGGACCTGACCGACAACGTTCTCACCTCCTTCAATCACAACTACGACCCCGACCAGACCGACATATATAACTATTTCGAAGACCACGGCACAGCCGTTGCCGGCCTCATCGCGGCAAAGGATAACTCCCTGGGAATGCGAGGCGTTGCCCCCGAGGCCAATGTATACGGCTACAACCTTCTCGTGGAACACACTGACGGCAACGAAGCGGACGCTATGTCCCGCAACTCGGCGACCACCGCCATCTCAAACAACAGCTGGGGACCCAAGGACTACGGCAGGCCGCAGCACACACACGAACTGTGGGAAGCGGCCGTCAAGGACGGCGTGACCAACGGCTATGGCGGGAAGGGAGTAGCTTATGTATGGTCCGCAGGGAACGGGGCTGAATACGATGATCACGCCAACCTGGACGAGTACGCAAACTTCTATGCCGTGACTGCCGTCGTGCGCCGTTGGTCACGACGACAAGAGAAGCGACTACTCAGAGCCTGGCTCCAATCTCTGGGTCTGCGGGCCATCCAACAGCGGGAGAGTGGGCCAGCCCAGGATAGCCACCACGGACAACGGAAACAGGTACAGGGGCACCTTTGGCGGTACCAGTGCCGCCGCTCCCATAGTCTCCGGCGTCGTTGCGCTGGTGCGCGAGGCCAACAATGCGCTCACCTGGCGGGACGTCAAGCTCATCCTGGCGGCCTCTGCCCGCAAGAGCGACCGGACAACACCGGCTGGGTAGAAGGAGCTTTCAAGTACGGGTCGACCACGGACCATTATAACTTCAACCACGAGTACGGCTTCGGCATGGTGGATGCCAAGGCCGCCGTGGACCTGGCTGCGGGCTGGACCAATGCGCCCGAGCTGCGGGAGATAACGTCTGAGTCAAGGGCCATCAACCTGCGGATCCCCGACCTGCCGTCGTCCGGAACGCCTACCACGGTAACCACCAGCCTGGACGTAGACCCATACGTGGAGTTCGTTGAGTTTGTGGAGGTCAACGCCCATTTCAACCATTCTAACTTCCGGGACCTGACCGTTGAGCTGGTCTCGCCCTCAGGGACCGTTTCAACGCTGTCCAATTCCGCCCCGGTAGGAGGGGCGCTGACCACTGAGTTCCGCTTTGGCTCGGCCCGCCACCTGGGCAAGAATGCTGCGGGCAAGTGGACGCTGCGGGTCAAGGACGTTCTGAGGAGGGATAGCGGGAGGCTCCAGTCGTGGGGCCTCACCATATACGGGCACGGTTCCATTCCAGGAGCGCCGGATATAGACACTGTCACTCCCGGCGGAGGCACCTTGACCATTGACTGGAAAGAGCCAACCGTCACTGGCGCTACCGCCATCACCTCCTACGACCTGCGCTACATACGAGACGATGCGACCGACAAGAGCGATGACAACTGGTCTGTGGAAACGGGTGTGGGGACGCCGAGCAACCTGAACTACACCATCACCGGACTGGAGGGCGGCGAAAAGTACGAGTTTCAACTGCGGGCCCACAACGATTCCGGACACGGCCCCTGGTCCCAAGCGGAAGCTGACGAGCCCACCACTGTCGCTCCGTCGGCGCCCTCAATCACCTCCATCACACGGGGTGACAGAACCCTGGCAGTCGTCTGGACTGCCCCCGCTGACACGGGTGGCGGGGTCATCACAGCCTACGACGTACACTACATCGAGACCAGCGCCGACGAGACGGTGGAGTCCAACTGGACGGTCCGGGACAACGCCTGGAGAAGCGGAGATCTGGGCTACGTGATCAGGAGCCTCACAAACACCACTGAGTATGACGTCCAGGTCCGCGCGGTCAACAGGGCTGGCGACGGGCACTGGTCCGAAACGGAGACCGGAACGCCATTGCCGGACGACATATCCATTCAGATGCAGTGGGACGATACCACGCCCGATGTCGACGAGGACGCAGGAAGCGTCGTGCTGAGGGCTGTCTTCACAACAACTCTGAACGCTCCGCCGGCAGCCGACTTTAAGTTTGACCTGGTAATAACGACTACCGCTCTCCGCGCAACCCAGGACGACGACTATACGCCTCCGCCTTCCTCAGCCAATTCGTCGCCAGCGACTTCAGCCAGACCGACGTCAACGGCCAGCAGCGCTACCAGGCGACCAGGGATTTCATCGCAGTCATCATGGACGACACGGAAGATGAATCGACCGAGGACTTCAGAGTAACCATGAATTACCTGACTCCCGGCCTCTCACATCTGCAGGGGGGCCCTCAATCGGCAACCGTCACGATCAGGGACAACGAACACGTGCCGGTGACCATTAGCTGGGAGCAGCCTGACATAACCGTTGATGAAGACGACGGAAGCGCTACACTGCGCGCCTATGCCGTCACCACAGTGGACAAGCGCCCTGAAGACGGGTTCTCCTTCGACGCCTCCGTCTACACCTCAAATGGTAGCGCAGCACAGCCCGACGACTATACGCAGCTGGACGATACCGTCACTTTCAGCCGGAGTGACTTCAGCCGGGTAACCGTCAACGGCAACCGCCGATATCGGGCCGCAAAGCAGATAGTGGTGAATATTGAGGATGACACAATCGACGAAATCGAGGAGGACTTCACCGTAACGTTTCGAATACTCAAACTCCACTCCGCCTCATTTACAAGGCGGACCAGCCACTGCGAGCGTCAAGATCGCCGACAACGACTACGTGCCCGTAACCATCGATTGGGAAGAGACGGAAGTCTCGATCAGAGAAGACGCTGGGCAGCGTCACCTGTACGCACGGTCCACTACAACGGAGGCAGGGATGCCCTTGTCAGATTTCTCCTTTGACGTGAGGGTAACCACCAGCTCAGGCAGCGCACGGCAGAACTCCGACTATACCTCCTGGGATGCGACCGAAACCTTTCTGCATAGCGATTTCAGCTCAATCACGGTCAATGGCGAACTGAGATATCGAGCTGAAAAGCAAATCACCATAGACATCCAGGACGACATCCACAAGGAAGGAGACGAGGTCTTTACCGTGAGACTGGCCTACTCCAACCCTGGACTTCCCTATCTGCAGGGCAGTTCGGCGACGGCCACCGTCACAATCATCGACGATGAGAATCTGGACCCCACCATCAGCACCAGGAACCCGCCGTCCACCTACCGGGAGAACGGCACCTCGGCAGTCTACACCTTCCGGGCCTCCGACCCCCAGGGAGGCCCATTACCTGGTCGCTGGAGGGTGACGACAGGGGAGACTTTACTATCACCGGGGACAGCAGCGGCCAGGGAGTGCTGGCCTTCTCCACCCCACCGGACTATGAGAACCCGTCGGATACGGGCAGGGCAGAACGACTACGAATTAACGGTCATTGCCACCGACGAGGACAGCCGCACCGACAGGCTCTCATTCACCATCACCGTGACCGACGAGTGCGCCAGCGCAGGAGAGCCACCCTGCGCACCAGGCAGACCCAGTGTGTCGTCCGCATCCGACACCAGCCTGCGCGTAACCTGGTCTGCTCCCAGAACTCCCTCCGGCACTTCCATCACCGGCTACGACCTGCAATACCGGGAGTCAGACAGCGGCAAAGCTGGATTCCCCAGAGCGTGGCCGGAACGGACCGCTCCCATACCATTGAGAACCTTATCAAGGACACGTCCTACGAGGTGCAGGTCAGGGGCTCAAACGACAGCAGCGGATATCGGCGAGTGGTCAGAGTCCGGCACCGGCACGCCGGGCTCTGGCGGCGGCGGTGGCGGACGGTGGTGCGGGGAGGAGGAGGAGGAGGAGGACCACCCCCGCCCACCGGGCCCAGCTTCACGATGGTACCAGCACGTCACGGTCGGTAGTGGTGCCTGCACTCGCCCGGCGCTGACGTGGGCGACCCCGTAGCTGCGTCACACCCCGACAATCTAGCATCATCTATTCCCTGAGCGGGGCCGACTCCGCCCTGTTCACCGTCGACGAGATGACAGGCCAGATCCGGCTCGGCCAGGACGTCTCGCTGGTGTCGGGACAGACGTACAGGGTCACCGTGAGGGCCACGGACAGCACGGGTGCAGAGGCCTACATCGACGTGGTCATCGAAGTAGCATTCCACCAATACGACCTGAACCGCAACGGCACCTTTGAGAAAGAAGAGGTCATAGAGGCCATCAATGACTACCTCTTCGGCGAGGGAGACGAGCAAATCACCAAGGCCGAAGTGATAGAGATCATAAACCTCTACCTCTTCGGACAGAGATAGGACCACAAAGACAAGAGTGGTTCCGTTTGCTTCAACGGCGACCGAGGTGAACGCGGCATCCACAGAAGCAGACGGAGCTACTAATCCAAAACATCAGCAAGAATCCAGGGGTACCATCGCTGCTTCATACGCTGCCTTCAGACTGATCTCCGTCTCCAATCCCAGCCGATATCTAGGCTGACATCTCTGCTTGAACAATTGCATCCCTGTAGTCTGTTATGCCGCCGCCCCGACAGGCGATTCAATCAATGTAAGAAAATACGGCATTTCGTTGCAACGCGTGTCGAACCTACCGAGGTCGCACACCACCAGGCTCCTGACTCCCTGACTTTGCCAGTGGTACAATGACGCCAATCGCTCAACTCACTCAGACTCGGAGAGGTCCGCGATGACCAGCAAAACGACTTCACTCTCAAAGGGAGCGGGCAAGCTCGAACGCTTTCCCGAGTATCCGCCGCGAGAAGACATGCAGAACTGGCTCTACCTCTATGATTCATCCATCCTGACTTCGCTTACGATTCACTTCGCTGATGAGCCGAACGTCACGGTGGCGAGCGAGGTTCCGGTCGGGCCTACTCTGCCGGTGCGGGATGACGCGCGGATACCGGACCTGCTTGTGGTACGCGACGGCGACCGTGATCTTATGGAAGAGCAGCGAGGCTATGCGATAGACCGTCAGGGGAAGGCTCCGGACTTCGCGCTTGAGGTAGCGTCTCCGACGACTGGAAGAGTGGCCTACACGGACAAGCGTCTGGACTACGAGCGCTTCGGCATCGCAGAATACTGGCGGTTCGACCCGAGTGGCGGCGAGTACCACGATGCGGCGCTTGCGGGAGACTCCCTGGTAGAAGGCAAGTACGAGCCGATAGCGATAGATACGCTGCAAGAGGGTATGCTTCGTGGATACAGCGAGGCATTGGGGCTGTACGTGTGCTGGGAAGATGGACGGCTGCGGTTCTTCGATCCCGTTACTGAGAGCTATCTTCGCTCTCACGAAGAGGATCTGGCTCGTGCCGGAACTGCCGAAGCTCGCGCTGAAGAAGAGCGAGCCGGTCGCGTAGCGGCAGAGTCGCGTCTTGCGGAGATTGAATTAGAGCTTCGTCGTCTGCGCAGCGAGTAGGTACTTGGCACTTCGATAGTTCCCTCTGTGCCGGTGCGTCCTCCTGCGAATCCCCTGAAAACCCATGCAAGAAAATACTACATTACTGTTGAGAGTTCCGAGCCAGAGCAAACCAGACGTGCGGAAGTGAAAACAATGGATGAAGAGAGGAAGCTTTCGATATAGTCAGGACTGTCTTGCGAGATACGATTGATGGGACCCGCCTTAGCATGAACGACACGCTGAACTACTACGGCATTATTGTCGATAGTAATACGAGGCAAACGATATGCCGCTTGCGCTTCGGCGCTAGAGTGAAGAATATAGGCTTGTTTGACGATGAGGGCAATGAGAACCGCAATAGGTTGGCATCTTTGTCCGACATCAACGACTATGCCGAGCAACTTCGATCTAGAGCAAGTTTGTTTGCATAGTTGACAGTATCTTCTCCTAAAGGCCGGTCCGCGCTGCAAGGAAATACGGCAATCTCTTGCAACGCGTGTCGAACCTACCGAGGTCGCACACCACAAGGCTACTGATTCCCTGACTTTGCCAGTGGTATAATGACGCCAATCGCTCAACTCACTCAGGCTCGGAGAGGTCCGCGATGACCAGCAAAACGACTTCACTTACACAGGAAGCGGGCAAGCTGGAACGCTTCCCCGACTTTCCGCCGCGGGAAGACATGCAGAACTGGCTCTATCTCTACGATTCTTCCATCCTGACTTCGCTTACGATTCACTTTGCTGATGAGCCGAACGTCACAGTCGCAAGCGAGGTTCCGGTGGGGCCTAGCCTGCCTGTAAGGGATGATGCGCGGATACCGGACCTGCTGCTGGTGCGCGACGGCGACCGTGCTCTTATGGAGCAGCAGCGAGGCTATGCGATAGACCGCCAGGGCAAGGCTCCGGACTTCGTGCTGGAGGTGGCGTCTCCGACGACTGGGAGAGTGGACTACACGGACAAGCGAGCGGACTACGAGCGATTCGGCATATCGGAGTACTGGCGGTTTGACCCGAGTGGCGGCGAGTACCACGATGCGGCGCTTGCCGGGGACAGGTTGGTTGACGGTGTGTATGAGCCCATTGTCATAGATAGCATGAGTGAAGGTCGTCTTCGTGGATACAGCGATGCACTGGGACTGTATGTGTGCTGGGAAGATGGGCGGCTGCGGTTCTTCGACCCTCGGACCGAGAGTTATCTTCGCACTCACGACGAGGACGTGACTCGCGCTGAGGAAGAGCACGCCGGTCGGCTGGCTGCTCAAGCCCGTGCCGGCACCGCCGAGGCTCGCGCCGAAGAAGAGCGAGCCAATCGTATGGCTGCTCAGGCTCGCGCTGAAGAAGAGCGAGCCGGTCGCGTAGCGGCAGAGGCACATCTTGAGGGGCTTGAGGCCGAACTTCGACGACTGCGCGGCGCATAGGCGCTTTCCCTCGTGTCCATCGCCAGCCGGACACGTTCCTTCGCCCGCGAATCACTTCTTAAAGTCAATGCAGGAAAATACAGCAATCTGTTGCAACGCGTGTCGAACCTACCGAGGTCGCACACCAGCAGGCTCCTGATTCCCTGACTTTGCGAGTGGTACAATGACGCCAATCGCTCAACTCACTCAGGCTCGGAGAGGTCCGCGATGACCAGCAAAACGACTTCACTTACAAAGGGAGCGAGCGAGCTCGAACGCTTTCCCGATTATCCGCCACGGGATGACATGCAGAACTGGCTCTACCTCTACGAAACCTCCGTCCTGACTTCGCTTGCGATTCACTTCGCCGATGAGCCGAACGTCACAGTGGCGAGCGAGGTTCCGGTCGGCCCGAGCCTGCCGGTGCGGGATGATGCGCGAATACCGGACCTGCTGATGGTGCGTGACGGCGACCGTGAGCTCATGGAGGAGCAGCGAGGCTATGCGATAGACCGCCAGGGGAAGCCTCCGGACTTCGTGCTTGAAGTGGCGTCTCGATCAACTGGAAGAGTGGACTACACGGACAAGCGCACGGACTACGAGCGGTTCGGCATCCTGGAGTACTGGCGCTTCGACTCGAGTGGCGGCGAGTACCACGATGCGGCGCTTGCGGGGGACCTACTGGTAGACGGCATGTACCGGCCCATCGCGATTGAGACGCTGCAAGAGGGTATGCTTCGTGGATACAGCGATGCACTGGGGCTGTATGTGTGCTGGGAGGGCGGGCGGCTGCGCTTCTTCGACCCCCGTACGGAGGGCTACCTCAGCACTCACGACGAGGCCGAGGCTCGCGCTGAAGAAGAGCGTGTCAGTCGTATGGCGGCTCAAGCCCGCGCTGGCACCGCCGAGGCTCGTGCCGGAACTGCTGAGGCTCGTGCTGAAGAGGAACAGGCAGCTCGTATGGCGGCTCAAGCTCGCGCTGAAGAAGAGCGCGCCGGTCGCGTAGCGGCAGAGGCACATCTTGAGGGGCTTGAGGCCGAACTTCGACGCCTGCGCGGCGAATAGGCGCTTTCCCTCGCGTTCATCGTCAGCCAGACACGTTCCTTCGCCCGCAAAATTACCCGATAAAAATTCCTTGATGAACGTTGAGTAATCTAGGAACTTCCGAGTAAGGACACTTGCGCATCTTCACTCATATTTCCGCTGAGACACGAGTCGTTCGCGCTCGCGGCGCACTCTGAAAGCCATGCCCTCAGAGCGGGGATATCTCCCAGCGCGCGCAGGTAGATCCCACGCGCTCCATTGTGGTCACGGTCCATCCGGTCACCGTCCTGACCAACCACCACCGACGCACCGCCAAGGTTCTCCAGCACCTCACCGGTCCAGGATACTGTCTTGGTCGTGTAGGCTTCGCTTACATCCAGCACTGTTACGCCGGCCTCGGCAGCCTTGTGCCTGATGAAGAGTTTGAACCGGTAGTGCGCCAGGCTCAGCAGGTTGCGCACTGTCTTGCTTCTGATCCTGCGCCTGCCGCGCTCCACCATCTCCGATGTCTCGAAAGTTGGCAGTAGTATGACGTCGAAGTTGTCCGCCAGAAAGCGCGCTGTCTGTCTGTGAAGCTCCTGCACCAGGTTCTCGATACGAAGACGCATCCGGTTGGCCGCACGGCGCATGTTCCGGCGCTTCCTAGATGGTGACTTCGCCGCACGGCTCATCAGGTCGTCCAGTCTCTCGCAGAGCCTCTGTATCCTGAAGAACGCTCCCTCTGCTATCTTGCCAACGGAGTCGGCACAGTACCAGGTCAGGAACGAGCGCACTCCGGGATCGAGAGCCACCACCCGCGCTTGGTTCTCGCGTGCGTGCGGCAGCTTCTCGTCGTAAGGAACACTCAGGTGGTACTGTCCGTATCTCATCGAAAGACGGCAGATGTTACGGTTCTCAGGGACGGGCAACTTCTCGGCCATCTGCATATCGCCGAGCTTGCTGCGGTAGATACCCATGTCAGACACGCAGTTGGCCTGCACCGTGAAGGTCTGTCGGGGGTTCTTGCGAGAGCGAAAGCGCACACGGGCGAAGTCCTCGTCCTGCCGTCTGCCCCTGCTCTTGTCTCTGGCAAGCTCGGCATTGCGCTTCTTGCACGCACTGATCGCGCGACAGGCATCGAAGATCGCGCCCACCAGCACCTCGCGCGGCGCGCTCCTGTGCCAGGGCGGAAGTGTCGGCAGAATGACGTCCCGTACCTTCGTCTTTACGGCGGGTGGAGCATCGTCTGCAGTCAGCAGCTCCACGGTCTGGTTGTAGGCGTACCTGGCAGCGCCGAACCAGCGGCGCAACTCAGCTCTCTGGCGTGCGTCCGGGTAGAGCCTTATCTTCGCGATTTCCTTACGGTATCGCCGCAGTCCGTTGACGCGGGCTCCGAAGACCGTGAGGATGGCGAGAAGGTCAGTCGTGAGCTCCTCTTCGGGGCTGAGGTCTCGCTGATTGAGAACCACGAGCTCCCCGCCGTTGCGCTCGAGCAGCGTCTCGATGAGTTCGGTCCCAAACCGCGCAAGACGGTCTCGGTAGGCGACCACAACACGGAGCTTATCTCCCTGGTGTAGTCGTTCCAGTATGGCAAGAAGCCTTTGCGCTTGAAGTTGAGTCCGGAGCCGACGTCGCTGACGATCTCGGCGTCAGGGTATCGCTCTCGCATGAAGGCGACCTGCCTGTCGAGGTCGGCCGACTGCTTTTTGGACGAGACGCGGCAGTAGCAGACGGTCTGCGCGGGTCTGGATTGTCCAAGGTATGAATCGACATCATATCTGCGCTGGTTGCCTTCGGTCCTGATGTAGTCAATGCGACCTTCCCGCGCCCACTTTCTGAGTGTCTGTGGATGCACGCCGAGTATGCGGCTTGCCTCTCTGGAAGGAACGTATCTCATGATTCTATTATACAATAACAATCAAATATTATAAATGAAACTAGGTTCTACAAGTAGCCGCTTCGCCCTCTGAGATTCGAGGACCGACCGTCGCCGTCGCCATGTACTGTCCTCTTGTGTTGCGAGGTATAATGCAGTCCGTTGACATTCATTTAGCGTACTGGAGCATGAGTAAGTCGCAAAGGAGCAAGCATGCCCGAAACCGAATCCGCAACTCGCCACGATTTCTTCATCAACGACGGCGCGCGCGAGGCCGGCCTCACTCAGCAGTTCTGGTATCAAGCCTACCTGCAGTTCCTGAAGGATACGGAGAGCGACACAACCACGCCGGGATTCGAAATGTACGACATCGCTCGCACCGTCCGATTCCCTTCGGCCAGAGACACTTCGACGTACTCGTGCGGTGTCAGCCGGACCCGAGGGAGTACAGGATTTATCGACTTACGGCGTTTGCGGCTGGTGATGACCGCCAACCGCTTGATGTATCCGGGGCATACGAGCAACTTCTGGAGGGCCGGGCCGTGTTGGGAGAAGCCGCCCTGCTGGATAGCGGCCGCCGATGGTAGTGAGCGCGCCAAGCCTTCGCTCTTGAGTTGAAACATCCTCATCGCACTTCTCGCCTGTGATAAAATCGGGCTGAGCAAGGAGAAGTTCATGACTACCCGATCCGCTCCCACCATAGTCTATCCTGAAACGGACGGTACCCCATTGCCTGACGGAGAGTTTCAAGCGCCGCTGTATGTCAGAATCGTCGGTACGCTCAGGACTCACTTCAGGGACATTCCGGGCGCAAGAGTCAACGGGGACACGTTCATCTACTACGTTGAGGGCGACCCTCGCCGTTCAGTCTCTCCCGACTGCTACGTGGTCTTCGGGCTAACGGAAGCCGCTCTCCATTCACTGTCGCTGGAAGGGAACAACACCTATCTGTTGTGGGAAGTTGGCAAGCCGCCTGACTTCATACTGGAGATAGGTTCTCCGAGCACCGCGAGGGCTGATCTGGGAAGCAAGCGTGACCTTTATGCCGAGCTTGGTGTGAGAGAGTACTGGCGGTATGACGCTACGGGTGGAGAGTTCTACGGTGAGGCGCTGGTTGGAGAGCGATTGGTGGACGGTGAGTATGGCCGGATGGTGATGCGGGTTGAGGAAGAAGGTCGAGTGTGGGGGCACAGCGAGGTGCTGAACCTTGAGTTGTGGTGGGAGGATGGAGACCTGCGGTTCTTGGACCCTGTCACGGGCGAGGGGCTTCTGAGTCAGGAGGAGGAGCAGGACGGTCGTCTGGCGGCGGAAGCTCGCGCCGAGACTGCCGAGGTTCACGCGTACGAAGAGCGGTCCGAGCGTCTGGCGGCAGAGACTCGCGCCGAGACCGCCGAATCAAGGGTCGCTGAGCTGGAGGCGGAGTTGCGACGCCTGCGCGGCGAGTAGCGGCATTCATCCCATCTCGGTTGGATTGACACATGTGGCATCCTCATACGCCGTACGCAGCCTGACATGCCCTCCAGCGTCCATGCAAGAAAATACAGCATTCTATTGCAAGGCGTGTCGAATCAATCCAAGTAGTACGACCACTTCCATGTTCCTCATGCCCCGGGTTTTCAGGTGGTATAATATCGCCAGTCGGCAATCGCTCATATCACTTAGGTTCGGAGAGACCTGCGATGACCAGCAAGGCTACTATACTTACAAAGGGAGCGGGCAAGCTGGAACGCTTTCCCGACTTTCCGCCGCGGGAAGACATGCAGAATACGTCCCATCTCCATCGTCGCTCGATTCTTACCGCTCTTGCTATACATATCGGCAATCCGGAGACGACCCTGGTGCATGGAGAGGTTCCGGTGGCTCCCACACTGGACCCCTGGGAAGACTATCGAATACCGGACCTCATTGTGACGTACAACTGCGACGTCACACTTGTGGACGAGCAGAGGGGCTACGCGATAGACCGTCAGGGCAAGGCTCCGGACTTCGTGCTTGAAGTGGCGTCTCGATCAACTGGAAGGGCAGACTACACGGACAAGCGCGCAGACTATGAGCGCTACGGCATATCGGAGTACTGGCGGTTCGACCCGAGTGGCGGCGAGTACCACGATGCGGCGCTTGCGGGAGATCGACTGGTAGATGGCAGGTACGAGCCGATAGCGATAGAGACGCTACAAGAGGCTATGCTTCGCGGATACAGCGATGCGCTGGGGCTGTATGTGTGCTGGGAAGATGGGCGGCTGCGGTTCTTCGACCCTGGTACGGAGAGCTACCTTCGCTCCCACGACGAGGAGCGCGCCGAAAGCATGGCGACACAGGCTCGCGCTGAAGAAGAACGCACCGGTCGTCTAGCTGCTCAATCCCGCGCCGCCGCCGCCGAGGCTCGCGCTGCGGAGTTGGAAGCGGAGCTGCGGCGACTGCGCGGCGAATAGCCCCCTTCCTCTCCCGTCGATCGCCAGCCGGACACGTTCCTCCGCCCGCGAATCACCTCTTAAAGCCGGATGCAATAAAATACTGCATTTCCTTGCATTCACGGCCACGCTCCATACCTGAGCCACCTTCTTAAATCTGACAACCTACCACCGATATGCAATGATGTATCGGATTTACTCTTGCACGGAGAATCCACAGTCGAAGATCGCAAACATACCAGCGCAAGAAAGGCCGGTTTGGGTGTAGTGAAATGACCAGTCGGCAGATTAGCACCGAAATACTTCGGAACGTGTCTGCATTGTGGCAGTCGGATTGAGGCTCGCACACCACCGATGGCGCACGTAGTTCGCGTCATTGTCGCATTGTGGTCGCGAGGGTTGGTGAAGGACCCTTTAGGAGGAATCGAATGACCTCTCCAGTGAGGTCACCATACGGTGCGACAACTGCGACCAGTGCCCTGGATAAAGAAGAAAACCTAATCGCCCAGTGTAGTTGTGCATCACGTGCTGTACGGCTATACGTCGACGCGGCAAATAGGGAGTCCCAAAGCAGGTCGTAGAAGCAATGGAAAGAGCAAAGCAGCAGTTTGAGGACGCTGGCTCATAGCCCGTAAAAGGACCCGATTATCACTATTTGTGATGGGAAAGAGCCTGAAAGCCCCGAGGCCTGCACCGGTGGCGCGACGGTGCTGGGGCGAGCTGGGCCCAAGAATGCAGGTCCTGCGCGCTTCTGGAGCGCTGACATCACAGATAGCGATAATCATGAAGTTTGCCGGCATACGCATTATAGAGTGACCTGCCCAGTCGAAAAGAGACAGTATGGATACTGAAATACACGACCGCAATCTCCGCCGGCGCAGGGCCCCGGCGGGCGTTATCCCAATACACAGGACGGCGGCAACCCCCAAACGTAAGAAGCGCATACACGGAGTACCTCGAAGTGGACGAGGTGAAACGCCAGTCATCAGGGCCCGCGTCAAACCCGAAGGCGAAGCTGCTGATGCTGGAGCAGTGGCGGGGGGCGGTCTCAGCCCTGTGTCCGAGGCGCCTCGACCTCGGAAGTGCAAGACCTGTCCGCTCGATAAGGCCACAGCCAACGCTGCGTTGTCGCGCTCCGGCAAGGGTCGGATAAGACTAGGCTTGTGCCGGTGCAATCCGGAGTGCACAGCGCTATGAGTAGCGCACTTGCTACGGGTGACATCAGCCAGGCAAAATCATCGAGAGCGCCTACCACGACCGCATGGCGCTGGGTGAAGACGGCGGTTGAAACGTGCTGAGGAACTTGGCGCGATTGCGCCTGGGAAAGCGGGTCGGGACCCACACGCTGCGTCACAGTTACGCACGTCACCTGCTGATGAACGGCATCCCCATCAATTATCTGAGCCGGTGGCTTGGGCACAGCTCGATACAGACCACGCTCATCTACCTGGAGCTTGTGCCGGACCCGACGGGCAGCCTGGCGATGGTGCCGTGAACCGAAGCGACATTTCTCGAAGCGCCTACTCCCAGAGTTGCTTATCCTTGACATTAGTAATGCGCGACATTACATCACTATCAGTCAAACGATTAAGAACGACGATACTGAACTGTCTCTTCACCGGACAGACGGTGCGGAGATTGCCGCCCGACATCCAGCGTAGGGCTCCGAATGATGGATCAAAGAGTTGGTGGCGGCTTGGCGCTCACGACCTTTCGCGTGGCCGCCGTCCCCTCGGCTCGAAGTTCCTGCGTGGGGACAGACGAGGCCCATGTACCGCATAGCATCAAGGACAGTGGCGTGCTGTGTGCTTTTCTGGACTGAACGCGGAAGCTAGGAAATCCGAAGTACTGACTACCAATTGGGAGAGAGGACAATGACTGCCCCTGAAACCGATACATCCGGGAGAACACCTGTCAGAGATAATGAGCGCGCTGGGCATCAAGCCAGTACCGTTTGGCGAAGACGAATAGGAGATGCCCCAGGTACGGATACACGATATTGTCAATGTCAGAGGTCGATCACCGCAGACACGGCAGTTGCCGAATTTGGTAGGCGTTGGGGATGACTCCCGCCGACTTCTGGCTGAATTCCAGCGATGTACGACTGGACGTGCCGCGGGTCAACGATGTCAGCCGCCAATGAGCCTCGTTGTGAAGTGGCCTGGGCTAAAAACGGAGTCTTTGACGCCTA